AGTGACAGCCTGCTTCCTCTTCTGAACGCAGTTTGATTTCTGACCGGTCCACGTTGCGCGCCCGTGACAGCCATTCGTGACTGCATGTGACCCTGTTCAATAATCTCTGCCTTCCGTTGGGTCACCTTTCTTTTCATAGGGTGGAAATACGGACTGCTTCCAGTTGGGTGGTCCTGCAATCATCTTTGACATTTCTCAGTACAGATGATTTCCCACAATGCTCTCAGTGCAACTTGGACTTACTCTGACTCACAGTCACTCTCTCAGGCAGGGGAGAATTGCCTCTTTGGGTTTTTTTCCAAGACTAACTCTTCAGGAAGAGTAGAAAGCCTCCTCTTTTTCCTGCTGAGTGCCTGGTGGTTTTGAACCACTGACATTGTGGTCAGCAGCCAAACACATAACCCCCTATGACACCAGGGTACCTTCCTACTTCCTGACGTGGTTGTTAATAGTTGTAATGCACCATGTTTAACTAGATGAGACTTTTATAGTTCTGATGCAATCCTTTATAATAATATCTACCAGACCATAGAAGCACAGTGAGTAAGTGCTAGGAGGATGCTAACCAAGAGTTCAGCGGATCAAGCCCACCAACTGCTTGACAGGACAAAAATCCTGATAAGCTACTTCTCGAAACAGTTCAGTTTGAGGCAGTTTTCACTCTCTGGGCTCAGTAGGTTAAGTGTTGAGTTGCTAACTGAAAGATAAGCAGTTGAAAGCCACCAGCTGCTTCAAGGAAGCAAAGTGAGAGTCTGGTTTACAGTCTTGGAAACTCCATGGGGAATGGATGGCCTGTCTGTCCCACAGAGTGGCCCGGAGGCAGAAATGACTCAAAGGCAGCGGTTTCTGTTTTGTTTGCATTTTTAATGGGGGTCACTAAGAGTTGGAATCAACTCCATGGTGTACAAGATCCTACCGGATAACAACTATTTAAATAGGGAACATCAAAACAGAGTACTGGGTAGCAAACATCAGATAAAAACAGACACATTTACGCACTCAAGAATCAAGAGGGAGACCCTCAAGGAGACAGACGGACGCAGGACCAGGCACCGTTTCATTCTGCTATAAACAGGGTGACTATGATTGGGAACAACGAATGTGCTGGGAACATGCAAAGATGTGTGTATTTCCATAACTCCTCAGCACCCTGACTGACCATTAGACCTGACCTGTATCTTGTCCTGATCCCGCACCCCCCAATTTTGACAAATCAGAATTTATTAAGCAAGTATGACTCTGGATATCATTATAATTTATTTAAATTCCCAAATTACAACCAAAAACTTTAAGTAATTTGATTCTCTGGACTATATGCTTCCACTTCTATGAGTGTAAAAACAGAGGCTCGCTAGTATAGCAATTTCAAATGTGTAAGAAACCGGAAGAGCCTAGATGTTTGGCTGTCAAGGTGAGGAACGGACGGGGTTTTCAATGATGTGGACTGTAGAGTGTAGAGTTAATGGTCTGAAATGTAACAGCCCCACTAATTGCCTCTATAAAAATCATTTATTAAAAATAAATTAACATTTCTTCTTATTATAGTTTGGTTTCTGGTTGTTTCAGTTCCTGGTAAAAGTAAACGAATCTTTGCCCTGAATAACTGATTCTTTAATTCCACTGACTTTCTTTTATTTTTGAAGGTCATTGCATTCAGCCTTAAAATTTTTTTGAGAAAACACTCAAATCAAATTAAATAGTAACCCTGAACTCTTATTAGAGGGTTACTCAAAATAGTCAAGATGCAGAATTGTTATGGCAAAATCTCCCAATTCGGCCAAAAATAATCTTGAAAGAGCCTTTCCTTTGTTATTCCTGGCTCCTCTCATCCACATGATTACAAATCCCAACCATTCCTCACCTTGACAGCAAAGCAGCCAGCTTATCTTTCGCTCTTCCCACACATTTAAAATCTCTAAACCAGCAACGCTCCACTTCTACACTAATGGAAATGGGAGCAGATAGTCCAGGGAATCAGACTGTTTTAAAAATGGTTTGTAATTTTCAAATGTAAGAAATTACAGGAATATTGAGATTCAGCCTGATTTAATGAAAAAAAAAATTGATTTCTAAAAAGTTAAAAAGAAACAACAAAAAGCAAACAAAAATAAAATGCAGGGCAGGTCTAATGGTATAGGGGTCCAACCCTTATCAATCTTTCCCTCTATTTCTCTTCTCCCTCTTAGGGATCTTACCTTTCATTGAAATCAATACCTGTCAACCTTCACCTTCCCACTTCCACCCACCACCCCGTGGAAACCCACGCTTCAGTTCCTTTTGTTAGGCAAGTCTTTTGTTTTTAATCCTGATGGTCATGGTCTCATACAATATTTGTCCTCATGTGATTGACCACCTTCACTCAGCATAATATTCTCTGGGTCCACTCACAGCTCGAGGGCTTCTTGGGCTCATCACTGGTTTTCAGTGATGTGTAGGATTCCACTGTGTGTATGCACTCAAGTTTCTCTAACCATTTCTAACCGATGGGCTTTTGGAATGTTTCCAATGTCTTGTTATTGTGAACACTGGGTGCCCTGAACACCAGAGTGCTTCTGTCTGACTGTGTTGGGGCGCTTCCTTCTTGATGGTATATAACCCAGCAGAGAGATGCTGCCTGTATGGAATTTCTATTCCCATTTGCTTGGGGAAGGGCTACGTTGATGTCCACAATGGTTGTACAGTGTGTTCACAGCCCCACCAGCACCACCCTCCCAATGTTGTTGTTTTCTAGGTTTTGCTGTTGTTGGGTTGTCATTGTCAGTATACGGTGATCTCTATGGTTGTTTTCATTTGCATCTCCTGGATGGCTGTTTCTTGGCCATCTGGAGGCCTAGTGTGAGGGAAACTTCTTTCTTTAAATGAATCAAAGAAGGGAAGCCTGAACAAAGGATGAGAGGAGGAAGGCATTTTATAATGGCAATGGCCATCAGATTTCTAGCTCCGTTAGAAAAGACGTCCCAGAAAGAGGATATCTACCATGTTGGATCATATAGAAGGTCAGCTTCTTTGTGATTAAACACTGAAAGACCCACTTGCTCTCTAGGAGAAGAAACTGCTCAGTGGTCACTAAGCTTTGTTATGGCTACCTGTCATGAATACACACTACCACCGGGAAAAAGTCGGCAAAATCCCATGGACAAGCAAAGTGCACGAGGTTCTGCAAAGTGTACAGAAGTGAGCTACAGGAAACTTCTACTTACAGCTTTCACCCACACTCGCTGAATAACACGTGTCCCTTCTCTGCTTTTCAGTTCCTCTAAATATAAAATTAGGAAAAGATCCCTAACGCGTGTTTACACACATGCACACCCCTCACATATATAATTAGAAATGCCACTGTATATCCAGGAGTGGCTGGTGGTTTTGAACTGCTGACCTTGTGGTTAGCAGTGCAACTCGCAGCTCCCTAAGCCACTGGGGTGAAGCAAAAAAAGGCCAATGAATTCAGTTCTGCTCTTTGTTTTGGAGTGGGGGGGGGCGTGGGAATATTGTATATATGTACATACAAAATGTCAAGAAAGATTGGAACTTAGTAAATGTCCTACACTCACAAAACTCCAGCTCATTACCTTCCCCAAACCCAACTCACAGCAATCCTATATAAAGCACACCAGAACCACCTCAAGGAGTTTCCAGTGTTATCAATCTCAATGGAAGCAGTATATCCTCTCTCCTAGGGTGGCTGATGGGTTTGAATCGCCAACCTTGTGCTTAGTAGACAAATGCTTTAATCATTGCTCCTACATCATTACTGTCGGACCAACCCAAACTGATTTGTTTGGCTTGAGCGTCTTCCCAGGTTAAGACATGAACATCAAATTAGGGGGCAGGATTCCACTAAAGGCAGGCTTGCTGCCAATGAAAAGAGAAAGAGTTGAGATTAAGGAGAATCCCTCTGTGGTAGTTACATAATCTGGTGTCAATTTGGGATTTGAGAGGATTAAGAGTGAAGGGGTGGAGTCTAGTCTGTCAATCATGTCATAGCCAAACTAACTGCCATCGGTCAAGGTCAATGCTGACTCACAGTGACCAGGCAGAACTGCCCCTGTGACTTTCCTAGACTGTAACTGTTTACAGGAGTAGAAAGCCCCGACTTTCTACCTCGGAACAGCTGGTGGTTTCGAACTGTGATCCTGGGCAGTAGCAGACTGACTCATAAACACTTAGCCACCAGGGCTCCTTTGTGCCAACTAAGCAGACCCTATTAAGGCTTTATTTCCTCATGCCTCCAACTCTGCGCCAAGGTAAGTTCTCTCCAACTGCCTCAGCATTCAGGAGCTCAAAGCAGCAGCTGGGGGTGGGGCAGCACCGCAGGTTCTGCATAACACGAACATGTCACGCTCCCAAAAGGCCACACAAGGGTCCTTTACAGCCTGTCAAGTGGCTACTTGAAGGACCAGGACAGAAGGGATTTCAATCAGACCTTCACCTGAGGATCAGTCAGTCCTCAGCATCTAGAATTCAAGTCAGCTTCCTCCCACCTCCTCACAGCTTAGCAACCTTCCCACAGGAACTTGTTCAATTTTCCAACAAATCAAGGGGGAGTAATATTAGTAACACTAATAAAAGCTTACAAAACCTGCAAGATGCCTATATTTATCACTACTCACTTACAGACCACTACAATTTATCATCGTCTATTGGGAAAGTCTATAAAATGTTCAATCTATCAAAATGAAGGGAGCGGTTTGGGCAGGGAGTCTAGTCACACGCCGCAGAAGGAAGGAAGCCTCAGGAAATAAAGAAAATGAGGGTCAGGCGAATTTCTCACATACTCTAGAGAACATTGGCAGGGCTGCATATCACCATGGGATGTTATTTAATACTTTGCACATTTGATCACAAATTCTAGGAATGAGCTCTTTAGAGGGATAATTAAATGGATGGATCCTCCCTGTGAGGGTGAGTCTGCACATTCCCTCGATTTGATTTGCTGTCCAGGGAGACTCTGTTTCTTCCCACCACCTCATAAAGGAAGATGACATCATTGTAGTACTTACATTCAAAGCATTCTTTGCAGCTTCTGCTTCTGAGCGGCTGTCAAAACTGACAAAACCTACAGGCTGAGGAAGAAAGACAAAAAAGAAATATGAAGAAAATCAACAACTGGGTCAGCCAGTCTAGTCTTCTGGGTCAGGGAGAATGCCAAACTGAAGCAAGCCGATGATATGACGACAGGCAGCGGGCAGCCATCAAAAAGCCAGTCCAGACAAATCACAACTTAGTGGCTTAGTCCAGTGTCGCACAGGACTCGGGAGGGGGTTCCAGATGGGTGGAGTTAGCAAAGTATGTAGAAGGGGCTGGAAGGTGAGCGGCAATGAAGGAAGACATGGAGGTTAATTCAGGTCAGAGAAGATCGACTTCCCTACATTGAATTCACTGTGCGTCAGTTTCTTCATCTTGAAGATGGAAAGAGAGAACTGAATCGATCATTCTGTGTACTCTGTTAGTGCAGGGAAAACACGGCACAACACTAACAGCGCTCTGGACTGTCCCTGCATGACCAGAATTACAAGGTCAACATTTCGATCGCCAATTCCAGGGGATGCCTTAGCAAACCCAGCATGTTTCGTTAGGTGTGAACCCCATGATTTCGGATAAACAGAGGTGACCATCCCCTGGAGGCTCAGTGCTTGCTGTCCAGGAGGCTGCTGGCAACATAGCTTATTCCTGGATGAACTATAGTTCCGGATTGGGAGAAACAAGCGGGGTGAGAACGCTGAGCGTCCGATTAGAGGGGAAGAAAAGCATCTAACGGACAAAAGCTCCTGGGGACTCAGAGCCACGGATTATCACTGCCATTCAGCATCGTCTGTGCTCCACTCTAGACGCGGGACTGCCCATCGATTTTAGAGGTTTGAGAGACAGTCTGACTCTTCGTCATCTGATCCTCAGAGATCATTACAGCTTGCTGGACTGACCATATAAGAAATAGAGGGGGAACAAACCTAGAATTGAAGTGAAATAGGGTAATACAGTGAACCCACATTTATCACGGTTAATCGGTTCTAGACCCTACCGTGATAAATGAAATTCCGCGAAGTAGGATTCCTTATTTGTAAATCAAATATATTCATAGTTAGAGCATAGAGGACATGAAAAAAACACCCTTTAGTCACCATTACACTCATATTACCCAATTTATTAAACGAAAAAGGGAAAATACAGTAAAACATTTTGGACATTACAATGATCATTTATTATTTATTATATTATTTATGGCATCAAGCGTGTACAGTATGAGCCAATCAGTGGCAGTAATGACAGAGCATGCGCTGCTACGCAAAAACCGCGATAGAGTGAAGCCGCGGAAGTCGAAGCACGAAGTGGCGAGGGTTCACTGTAATTTTTCCCTTCAATGTACCAGCTGATTCCAATTCAAGTCTCAGCTCCCAGCCGGGCTCAGAGCTGGAGGCACTGTGCTCAGTTCTCTGAAAACAGGGATAAGCTTCCTGGCTGGAGGCACAGCTTACTGACTGACTCTCTTGTGCTAAAGCCTAACTGATCTCGCCCTCAGTTTGAAAGCAATAACAATCATCAAATCCTACGGAATAAACGAGAACAGTGGGTCTTAGTCACATTCCCGAAGAAGACGCAAACTTTAATACAGAAGTGTGATGTATACGCAAGTCTGATTCTTACCTGCTTAGACGTGAGCTTTATAAGCGAACCCTCATAGCCCTGAAAATAAAGAAGAGCCAAGTTTAGCCGGTGACTACTAGGGTGGTGTCCCCTTATAGCATGCTACTCAAATAAAAGCGAATCCCTTCATTAATATCCAATTCTCCTCACAAATGCCTTTGATTTGGAAAGCAAATACATTTGTATGTATTCTATATGCGGACACAGACGCCTAGGTTTCCACACTCTACCAAGACTCACTGTCTTGAGTCGTCTCCGACTCTGAGCTACACACAGGACAGGGCAGACCTGGCTCTGTGGGGCAGAATGCCTTATGTCTCTCTCTCCCGCACAGCTGCCAGGGGGTTCGAACTAGGTCACCAGGTCTCCTTGGTGTACTAAGGGCCTAAAAAAATAAAGCCCTGAAATTCATGCATGTGTTTTCTTCCCCTTACAGTTCCGCATGAAGTTAAGCAGCAACAGAAAACCAATGACTGTTTCCAACAGATAATAGTGATTTTGTAGCTCTAGGACCGCAGTTCCCAACCTGTGGGTCACGACCCCTTGGGGGTTTTGTGTGTGTGTGTGTGTGTGTGTGTGTGTGTGTGTGTGTGTCGAACAACCCTTTCAAAGGGGTTGCCTGAGACCATGGGAAAACACGTATTTCCGATGGCCTTAGGAACCGAGACACCGCTCCTCTATCCGTCTCCATGCAGGTCCGCCCACATGCAGATACGCCCACATACGAGTATCCGGCATGAAGACTGTTTACCCATGCTACACCATGCTTCAAGACAAAATTTCATTTGTCATTAAATATAAATATTTCACAATATAGAATTATACATTGTTTTTCTGATTAATCACTATGCTTTAGTTATGTTCAATTTGTAACAATGAAAATATATCCTGCATATCAGATATTTACATGACGATTCCTAGCAGCAAAATTAGTTATGAAGTAGCAACGGAAATAATTTTATGGTTGGGGGTCACAACATGAGGAACTGTATGAAAGGGTCGCGGCATGAGGAAGGTGGAGAACCACTGTTCTAGGAGAAAGAATGGGACTGATTAATTAATAAAGGGAAGGTCAGAGCATGTGACGGTTGGTCATATATTTGCTCAAAAAGGAACAACAATAAAACATTAAGAATATACCAAGAAACCGAAGTCAATGTTTTCAAGTCAATTCCAACTCATAGCAGCCCTAAAGGACAGAGGAATTGTCCCTTAGAGAGCCCATGGCTATAATCTTTAGGGAAGCAAAGGGCCACACCTTCCCACCGAGTATGGAAGTCCAGTGGGACTCACAGCAACCCCAGGGTAGGCTTCCTAGGCTGTGAGTCTGTTCAGGACCAGAGTACCTCATTGTTCTCCCTAGCAACGGCTGGTGGGTTTGAACTACTGAGCTTGTGTTTAGCTGACTTCACCACTTAACCCACAACCCCACCAGTGCTCCTTAAGAATGTACCAGGAAATAATGCTAAAAAATATACTACATAGAACCTATTCAGCAAAGTCTCAATAGTGCCAGGGGAGGCTGGGCAGGAACTGATGCTGAAACATTTTTTTGTGTACTTATTGAACCCGCTAGTTTTCCTAGTGGTCCTCGGGGACTGCCAACTCCCCAGCGGGGTTTCCACTCCTGTGGGTTTGGCCTCCAGCATGGTGGTAGCACTCCCACTTGCTCACTCCTTCCACTCACCCTGGCTCCTCAGGAGAAAGATTATAAAGTCTGTTTATTCTTAAAAGTAATCCACGGTGGCTGGCAACTGACCACTGCATGCATCAGTGAGGAGGCCGATTTGCAGTTGGGGTCAGCCCCCAGGGACTTCATTGAAAAGAAGGGTGCTGTGCTAACATCTCAGGGTGTTGATGTTAACAGGGAGGTTGTTGAGATCCATTCACCGTCTACCTTCCAAGCAGATAACGGTGTTACCAACTAGTTCCTGTGAACAATTTACCTCCGAGGTTGGGGCTCTTCTGGCCAGAGAGGTATGAGTCACAGCCCTGCCTCTTCTCTTTGGGGTGCTCTTTTCCAGGGGACGGGGAGGGGGAATATGGAGGTTTAAATACCCCAAGAGCTTCAGTGGCAAAAGCACCCCTGGACGTTCACAAGAAAGCACCACAGAGGAGGCATGGAGGGAGCCCCTGCTGCTCACACCACAGAGAAGCAGGGCACCGTAGTGGTTCAGAGCAGGGGCAACAGTCAGGGGGCTAGCGTTTGAATCCTGGCTTGGTCACGCACGACACTTTGTACACACGTTCTTTCCGTTTCCTCCTCTGAAAAGCAGCAGGGCAACCCATTTTAAAGGAGCGTAGTAAGACTTCGATAAGGGAATTCATGTCAAGGGATTGTTTGCCGAGTCCCTTTCCCTTATAAATACAAATATGTAAGCACTGGGTTTTGCCTCTAAGGATGATCAATTAGCTTAGAAGCCACCATCCTTTCAAACGTAAGACAGTATTTAAAGGTGGTGTTCTCGCCACATTCCTTCCTGCTTCTCAGCGAATCTGGTGTTTGGTCTGTCATCCTCAGCATTGGCCTTGGGACTCCTTTTTGATTCGGGGTGGCTGACAAGAGTTGCCTGGTGACCATTATGACATCATACCTTCTTGGTACCTTAGCTAGACTTTAGTTTATCATTGTCTGTTGCAATCAGCTTCTCCCACCAGGTCTTTCAGATAGATGCCCACCCTACTCCTTCTCCTGAGGAATTCGATCCTCAACCTGCCTTGGGTGGGGTCCAGCTTCAACTAGGGGGGGAGGTATTTGACCAGAAATCAAGACTGCCTGTTGTGTCCATTATTTTCCTAATGCCACCCTGAGCTCATGCCTCCAGATCCACCTTGTGCCCACTCTCAGCTGACTTACTCCTTTTATTGCCAAAAGTAAACCCTCAAGGCCACTCGTTAGCAGCACAGATATTTCAGCTTCATGCAAGTTTCAATCTCATCAATACAAGGATCTCAAAAGATTTCTCTTCTTCTATAGTTCCCATGGACAAGCAGCTGAAGCTGGCCTTTCATTAAGCACCAGGGAAACTCCCTCTGATTCAATCTAAGATATATTGTTTACAATTTTGTTTCTACATTGTTTCCAACGTGGAGACAAAATCTCCCCACTCCCCCAATAGCAACACTAACAGTGGTGAGACTGGGCGAGTTTAGGGAAGCCTGTTTAATCTATTACGTAGCTAAAGAACACTATCTGCACTATTTCCATTCATCAGGATGCCTCTGGGGATAGGGTATGTCCACATTCGTCAGAGAAGAGGTCTCTAGTCACTGGAAGACAAAAAGTAGTTTAAATCTCCCTTTTGTGAGTTTATACATCAGAATGGACTTGGTCAATCTCCCTGAACCATTCATTTTTTTAAAAAAAACCTTTACAAAGGGATGCTTCTCCAACAATTCATCCATGAACCCCCAAAAAACCCCAGGAAGCATACAGGACACACATACTCTCTTCCTTTCCAATTTCGGAAACACAGCGTAAGGTACCTTAAACGGTCTGAAAAGCAGGTAGAGCTCCCGAGGTTTGATATCCAGAGGGAGACCGCTGACAAACAGCGTCCGAACCTGAAAAAATAAGATTGAGAAGTGGTCAAGGGAGTGGATCATCCAAAAAATAACTGTCAGTGGAAATCTCAAAAATACATTTCTCCAACATCCCATTCAAGCTACTCCATGACATCAAACACCCTAATGCTACAAATAATAATAATCAGATACATACCCTAATGTTGGGTGCCACTGAGCCAACTAAGTCGATTAACCGATGTGAATTCATCGTAGTTAACTTCTAATTCTACCACCGTCAGTGAGTCTGCCATCCTTGGGGCTTGCACATTGATTGCTATGATGCTGGAACCTTTGCCCCCAGTATTCAAACACCACAAAGGTCACCCATAGTGGGCGGGTTTGTGCAAAGCTTCCGGACCAAGACAGACTACGAAGAAAGGAGTGGTTATCTCTTTATAAAAAGTCCTCAGTGAAAACCCTCGGGATCACAACAGAGTATTATGCGCTCGTGACAGGGCCAGATGATGAGCCTTCTGGGTTTGGGACACGACACAGGAGTTGCAACAACAGACTCACATGGAAAAGATCACAAGATGGAATTGCACGGAGCACTGTTCTATTTATACACAAAGTCGCCTGTACAGCAACTAACAGCAGTTTAAAGTTACAGTTCTGGGGCCTCACAGAACTTCAATATAGGAGGGGAAAACGGAACCAGGGCAGTAATCTCTCCTTCTCCTGCCCTCAGCACAGGCCTTTGAATATAAAATCCAAACAAACAAAAAAATCCCAAGAACTGTTGTTTTCTCCTGCTTGTGGATTCCTTCATTAGCAACAATAATTTTGAACTCTCAATAAAATAAGAATGCAGTTTAAAAAATCTAAACAGTAACGAAAATGCATACAATAGCTGCTGAATTCCAAAACAGCAGAATGGACCTCACCAATGGTGCTTCCACTGGGTCGCCCTACAGCCCAACGAACCACCACCTCCATGTCACTGCCTCCCTCCCTCCCACCTCCCACCAAACCCGAAGGCCCTGCCATTGAGTCCATGCCAACTCAGAGCGACCCGTGGCATGGGGAACAGCTGCCCCTGGGGGTTTCTGAGACTGTCACTGTTTACGGGAGTAAAAAGCCTCATCTTCCTCCCATGGGGCAGTTGGTAATCTCCAAGGGGTGACCTTGCAGTTAGCAACCCAATGCCCACCTCACCATGCCACCAGGCACCCATACCCGCACATCCAGTGCCATCAGGTTGTGTACATCCACAATTCGTAGTGACCTTATAGGCCAGAGCAGCACTGCCCTGGTGGGTTTCTGAGACTGCAACGCTACATGGGAGTAGAAAGCCTCGTCTTTCTTCTGCAGCGTGGCTGGCAGTCTCTAACTGCTGACCACTCTGCCACCAAGCCTCCCACCAGGCACAGCTAATATCTATTCCTGCTAGGTGCCGCTAATCAAAGTCATGAAGACAGCATATCTGTAATTCAAGAAATAGGGTCCAAACTTGGTGGCGCAGTATGAACTAAAACCACTGGTTTGGGTGTCATGCTATCATCTGAGTAATAACAGAAAGGAAGGGGGGCATTTAGCCAGCGAAGGGTAGCAGGATGGTCAATGGTCCCAGGCGGAGCAAAGTTTTATTGGCTGGAGGGAGGAGGGGCAGCCAAATTTAACAGGTAGCTTAGGGTCAAACCACAGAGGACATTCAAAGTCACGAGCTAGGAACGAAGTCTTGCCTCAACCGGCAAGGCATAACTATTGAATGACCATTCCACCCTTTCTAGTGCTCTTCTTGACTTATGCTGGTGGTACCGTGGCCGAGTTCCTCAAGGGAAATCCTGTTGCTATTTAAGGAGATATGTCATGTTCGACTGTTAACCATGTATGAAGTACAGACACTTTTTCCTCCGTGAGAATAGCAAGACTGTTCCCTTGGCCCTCCACCAGATGGACTGACACAGCGGCTGCAACGATGGGCTCAAGCCCAGGAACAGTTCTGAGGATGAGGAGGGCAGGGCAGGGTAGTGTTTCCTTGTGCTGTGCGTGGGGGTTAAAGCGGGTCGGAACCCATGCAATGGCACCTAACAAGAAGAGCGTTTTTCACGGATTCCAGTTGTAACGAAGCACAGAAAGAGTAAGCAACACCCATGTAGCACCCAAACCAAAGCGATCACGCAGCCACGGAGCCTGGGAAACCACACAGTGAAGCCACATGCCCTTTGCAAGTCAGTGTTTAGTGAACCTCGGGGGAGCAGTGTTAGAGCACTCTCTCAGCAGTTCATCGAAAGACCATGTTCAGAAACCACTAGCAGGTATGAGCGGAACGAAGGCCCGGTGATCTCTTCCTGTAAAGATTACAGCCCAGGAAGCCCAGTGAGGCAATGATATAGTGTCACTATATGCGAATAGTAATATAGCTAACATATGTGTATAATACTACACAGCAATAAGACAGTGCGACTAGGTGGAAATCGACTCTCTGGCTCAAAACAACAAATGATGTGGCAGTAACACAGTTTCCCTTGAGCTGATGCTGGTTCACGGCCACGGCCATCCGCAGTGTGCAGAGCAGACCGGCATTCCCCAGGGCTCTCACGGCTGTGGTTTCTCTGAAGCAGAACGGGAGGATGTAAACATGAAATCCGAAGGAGCCTTCCCTGGTAGCGCTTTTAAGAATTGGAGCAGTTGCTCTCTAGAGAAAGATGAAACTACTCCTTTCAGTGACGACCTTATAAACCCTAAACAGGGTTCCCGGATGAGTCAGAATGGACTGGGTGGCAATGGGTGGATCACTAAATTATTGTGTAAAAGGTGATGCAATTATTAAATACAATTTTTAGTGTGGAACAGCCTGCTCCCTTTTTAAAAAAATTTTCTTTAGGTTAAAGTTTACAAAGCAAACTAGGGTCCCTTTGAACAAGTGTGACACTTGCCAGGCACCATCCAGCGCTCTTCCAAGGCCTTTGGCTCTTGCGGCTGATGGGTCCTGTGGGTCAGTTTCTTCGGTTAAGAGTTTTTTCTTCATTCTCTTCATCCCCATAGGAGTTGACAAGCGTTGTATCTTAGGTGGCCATTCCACAAGCTTTTAACACTCTAGATGTTACTCACCAAACTAGGCCGTGGAACGGTATCCCGGTGAACTACATGGCAACGGACTACCTACAATGTTCTCTGAGACGCTGCTCCCAAGCCTTCTAATCCTTTACACCAGTGGTTCTCAACCTTCCTAATGCTGCGCCCCTTTCATACAGTTCCTCAGGTGGGGACCCCCAACCATAAAATTACTTTTGTTGCTGCTTCATCACTGTCATTTTGCTACTGTTATGAATCGGGTGACCCCTGTGAAACGGTCGTTCAACCCCCAAAGGGGTGGCGACCCACTGGTTGAGAACAGCTGCTTTACACTGACCCCACAGATGGTTTGCAGACCCTTCTAAGAGCTCTCCTAACTGTGGCTCCCTGTACTTTGTTACAGACGTGGCTGTATATGCAGCCTAAACAACTGTGCATCTACCTGAGCGGCACACAGGTATCCCTAAGAGCAAATGCATTCACTTGAATATGCCTTTCAAATATACACGTCTAACAACGTAACCGGGCACACTTTCTAGTGCTGCAAAACTGGGCATGTCATAACACCTACCAAAGTTTTGGTGTTCACCGTGGTCAGGCTTGGGCATTCACTTGGGCTCGGTTGTGCTATCTTCACTAGTCCTTGGCCTTGCCGTCCCATCACCAAAGTAACAGGTGTCTACTATCTAGAGTGATTTCGTCTTCTCATCCCTGGTAAGCATCAAACAACTTTGGTTTCTATGCATTTATCTATCTTTTTAAAAATAGCCACAAACCTTTTTATAGAAATTTCATTGGCTAATTTTGAAATATTAAACCAACTTTGCACTTAGACCTCAGTTGTTGAGAATGTAGTATATTTTTAAACATTGTTAGACTCGATTTGCCAAAGTTTTTTTATTATTTTCTTTATAAGGGATCTTCATATCTCTCTTTATCGGGCATTTTGGCCCACTGTTTCCATATTTCATAAAGCTTTGCTTTTGATACCAGAGTAATGTTGGCCATGTAGAATGACGTGGGAAGCAATTCTCTTCTTCAGTTTTCCAGATGAGTTTATGTATAGTTAATATTGTTTCTTCCTTAACTGTTTGGAAGAATTTGCTAATGAATTCACATGGGAATGGAGGTTTCTTTGTGGTAACGACTTTTTAAAAAATTCCTCTAACGCACAGAAAGCTATTAAGCGATCTACTTCGTAGGCAACAATGGGCTCAGGCCTGGGGACGATGGTGGACTCGCAGGGCTGGGCAGGCTTTCCTTCTGCCGTGCACAGGTCACTGTGGTTGGGACAGATTCCATGGCATGGAACAAATTTAAAAAACTAATTTTATTGGGGGCTCATACAACTCATATCACAATCCACACATCCATCATCCATTGTGTCAAGCACATTTGCTGCCATCATCATTCTCAACGCATTTTCTTTCTAGTTGAGCCCTTGGTATCAGTTCCTCATTTTCCCTCTTCCCACCCCCCAGCCCTCCCCTCACGAACCTTTGATCATTCATAAATTATTATTTTTTCATGTCTTACACGGACCGGACCGATGTCTCCCTTCACCCATATGTAACAACTTCTTAGGTGACTCTTGGTGAGTTATACATGAAGTGTTTTACAAGGAACTTGCCCCTTTCATCAGTTCTAAATTCACTGGCTGAAATTCCTCATAATATTTCCTATTACCCTTTCAATATCTTCAGAATCTGTAGCAGGATCCCGTCTCCATCGATATTAGTAATCGGTGTTCTTTTCTTTTTCATCTGATTACCCTGGCTAGAGGTCTATAAAATTCGTTGATCTTGTCAAAAGATCAAGGTTGGTTTTTTTTCCCCCATCAGTCTTCTAGGTGTTTGCCCCACTTCTTATGTTTTTTTATTTGTTTTATTATTTTATTTCTGCTGCTTTCCTTGGGGTTAATTTGTTCTTATTTTTCTAGTTCTTCAGGCAGCCAATAAGGTCATTAAGTTGAAATCTTTTTTTCCTTTCTTATAGCGCTATAAATTTATCATCAACGACCCCATGGCTGACATTCCCACAAGGTATAGTATGCTGTCCTCTCGTTTCCACGCTCTTCAAAATACTTTCTCAATTCCCCCTTTGATTTGTTCCTTGATCCACAGTTATTTAGAAATGTTTTACTAAGCTGTCAAATATTTGGGGAATATCTCGATGTAACTGATGTTAAAATTTTATTCCAATTGT